TATTTTCAGTTTGATCAGGCATCAACACTACCGTTCAATTTCAGCAGTTCAGGTGGGGACTCAGACTAAGTACTACATTGTTTATAATTACACTACCATGTTCGAGGTATGTACATTCAGTATCCGCTTGGAATGGTCGCCGGTCCATTCTGGGTTCTAGTGGCCTAATCTACCCACTAGAGTGTGCACATGGTATGGTATTAGTTTGTGCCGCCAGATTTCGGTATTAGTTTGTGCCGACAGATATTCAGTTATCAGTTACGTGACTTATGTCGCGAGATCACACCGGTATCAGATATCAGTTTCAGTTTCAGTTTCAGTTCAGTTATATATGCTTAGATCATGATGTTGTTATTATTTACAATGTTTACATTAGTATGAGTTTCTGCGGAGCACAAGTGTTTTAGTGCTCACGCCCCCACGCATTTCATGTTTTTCAGGTCGCAGGGTCGGGGACGAGGAGTGAGCTGGCGGGCAGTTCAGGATATTTTGTGAATATATGTATATATGTTTTGCCACGCAGATGTTTCCGCTAAAACTATCAGTACTTATTTTCAGCTTTTGTTCCGACGTTAGTCGGTTAAGACATTATAACCGTTTCTATTTATCAGTTTAAAATTTTAACGGTTTTCAGAAAAATCAAGTTTTCACGGTAGCATCCCGAATCAGTTTTCGCAAAATAAATATTTTATTCAGAAAATTGCGAAAAACGCGTACTCTGATAGTATTAAAAGTTGGGGTGTTACAGTTGGTATCAGAGCACGTTTCTGCGCTTCTAAAAAGTATTTCAGTCAGAAATTTTCAGAAAAACCTGAACTGTCACGCTCACGCCTCGCCGACTCCAGGTAAGTGCTGATTCAGTTTTCAGTTATAAACATATTACTTTGTCTATGCTCAGAAATCAGTAATCAGACTTAGTTAAGATGCTCGAATCAGATTCAGACTTTAGAGTTCAGATATAACTCTAGAATTCAGTATATTCAGACATGACTTTAGAGATCAGTATACTCAGATAGGACTCTAGAATTTAGTATCTTTCAATATGACTCTAGAGTTCTTCAGGTTTCACGTCAGTAATTATCGGCCATTTTTGGCAACTCGTCAAGAGATCTGTGTGCCTTAGTAATCAGTCAGAATATTATCACGTGTTCAATAATTTTGAACTTTTCCAATGTTCAGATGCCGCCGTAGGGAACCCGATCATCCGGCTCCTACTCAGGCCACAGTAGTCGCCCAGTTCCGCGACTATCATGCCGAGAAATTCTTAGGGCAGGGAGATCCTCGCATCGTAGACGAATGGATTCTGGGCCTGGAGTTTATCTTCGAGGTCATGGACTGTCCTGATAGATATCGCGTAATTTGCGCTCAGCTTCAGCTCACCGGTGATGCCAGGCTCTGGTGGAACGCTTATTGGAGCATGCGTCCCGACGAGAAGGCGGGATGTACGTGGGAGATGCTCAAGGAGTTAATCCGCGAGAAGTATTACCCCACCTACTACCGAGCAGAGATGGAGCGACAGTTTCTATCGCTCCAGCAGGGTACTCGTACTGTTGACGAGTATGAGAGGGAGTTCACTAGACTTGCAGCTTTCGTTCCTGATTTGGTGCGCACGGAGGCCCAGCGAGCACAGCGTTTCATTGACGGGCTTTACTTAGCAGTCCGTCATAACATCGTAGGCCACGGGACACAGACGTACGCGCGTGCAGTTTCCATTGCCCAGGAGGTGGACGCCAGCATCAGGAGGGAGGCCGTCCGTGATCAGTTCCAGCCATCCGCCCCTGCTCAGTCATCTTCAGTTCCACCGATGCCAGCTCTACCATCTGCCCAGCCACCGAAGACTAACAAGAGGAAAGGGAAAGGTGCCCCGACAGATAAGAGGACCCGACAGAGGCTACAACAAATCCCACAGTGCCCGACATGCGGACGACTTCACCGAGGCGAGTGTCGCTTTGGTCAGGTTGTATGCTACTACTGTCACGAGCCCGGACATTTTGCGAACCGTTGTCCGAAGAAGGCGCAGCAGCCTCAGCAGCCTCAGTAGCCACCGCAGCAGCAGCAGCCCTGTCAGCAGGCTCAGAGGCCGCCTCAGCAGCAGCAGCAGAGGGGCAGACAGCAGGCCCGAGTTTATGCAGTCGATCAGGCAGAGGCCGAGCAGCAGCCAGGTACTATGTCAGGGATGGTTGTTCTTCATAATGTTCCTGTGTTAGCTTTATTCTATACTGGAGCGATACACTCTTTCATTTCACGATGATGTCTTCATGCCGTCGGAGTTCATGCCGTCACCGCTGTCGATCTTCTCGAGGTGAGTTTAGCCTCGGGACGAAAGATAGTGACTTCAGCTAAAGCTTCAGATCTTAGCCTTTCCATCGGTGGCCGAGAATTGTCTACCGACGCGTTTGTTCTCGAGATGAGGGACTTCGACCTTATTCTCGGAATGGATTGGCTATCCTTTTATCATGCAGATATCAGATGTCATGACCGGGAGATTACTCTTTATCTTCCGGGAAACGAGTCGATCACTTTCTTTGGCTCCAGGAATCGTTCATTGCCTCATGTTGTTTCGATGGAGAAAGCCACTAAGTTGTTGCGACGAGGCAACTGCCAGGGTTATCTGGTGAGCCTTGTCGACGATTCTCAGAAAGCACGCTCACCTCACGATGTTCCAGTCGTTCGTGAGTTTGTGGACGTGTTCCCAGACGAGCTTCCAGGAGGACCGCCTAACCGGCAGGTGGAGTTCTCTATCGATTTCATTCCAGGAGCCGGTCCAGTATCCAAAGCCCCGTACCGTATGGCGCCTAAGGAGTTACAGGAGCTTAAGGCGCAGATTCAGGAGTTATTACGACTCGGTTTCATCCGACCGAGCGTGTTACCTTGGGGAGCACCCGTTCTCTTTATTAAGAAGGACGGATCCATGCGCATGTGTATCGACTACGGGGATCTTAACCGGTTGACGATCAAGAACAAGTATCCGCTTCCCAGGATCGACGACTTATTTGATCAGTTGAGGGGAGCCTGTGTATTCTCAAAGATTGATTTACGATCAGGCTACCACCAGCTGAAGATTAAGGAGTCAGATATCGCTAAGACCACTTTCAAGACTCGTTACGGCCATTACAAGTTCGTCGTCATGCCATTCGGTCTCAGCAATGCCCCAACAGTTTTCATGGACCTCATGAACCGTATTTTCCATCCCTACCTCGATCAGTTTGTTATTGTCTTTATTGACGATATTCTTATTTACTCGAAGAGCCAGAAGGAGCACGAGGAGCATCTGAGGGTAGTTCTTGAAACTCTCAGACGAGAAAAGTTGTTTGCAAAATTCTCCAAATGCGAGTTCTGGCTCCAGCGAGTATCTTTTCTGGGTCATGTGATTACTCAGGCAGGTATCGAGGTGCATCCTTTTAAGGTCTCAGCTGTTCAGAACTGGTCGACACCGAGAAGTCCGTCCGAGGTTCGCAGTTTTCTCGGTCTAGCTGGTTACTATCGCAGGTTTATCGAGGGCCTTTCCAAGATCACCCTCCCTCTATCCCAGCTGACGAGGAAGTCTGTGAGGTTCGAGTGGACTGACCGATGTGAGTCGAGCTTTCAGGAGCTCAAGAAGAAATTAACTTCAGCACCGGTGTTGACTATTCCCGATCTTTCTCGGAGTTTCACCATCTTCAGCGATGTTTCGAGACAGGGCTTGGGATGCGTCCTTATGCAGGATGGCCAGGTCGTCGCGTATGCTTCACGTCAGCTTAAGCCGCATGAGCAGAACTATCCAACGCACGACTTGGAGTTAGCAGCAGTCGTTCATGCTCTCAAGATTTGGCGACACTATCTTTACGGCGGTCATTGTGAGATTTTCACCGATCATAAGAGCTTGCAGTATATCTTTACTCAGAAGGAGCTCAACATGAGACAGCGCCGTTGGTTAGAAATTGTCAAAGATTACGACTACTCTATTCAATATCATCCGGGGAAGGCGAACGTCGTTGCTGACGCCCTTAGCCGAAAGGTGAGGGGTGACTTGACGTACGTCATTATTCAGCAGAGTCTGTTGATTCAGGAGTTTGCCTGGATGCAGCTTCAGGCGATCGATGCACTTCCCACAGCTATTTCGGGGAGTAGCAGTGCCAGTGTCAATGCCATGCAGCTTCAGCCGACGCTGAGAGAGAGAATCCAGCGAGAGCAGGCTTTTGACGAGTTCGTTCGTGTCATGGAGGCCAAGGTTCGCGCCGGAGGCGTCGAGGGTTTTCAGCTAGGTGCCGAAGGTGCCCTAGAGTTTAGAGGCAGGATCGTGGTCCCGAAAGTTGAGGCGTTGCAGAAGGAGATTTTATCAGAGGCCCATACCGCACCCTATCTAGCCCATCCCGGGAGCACGAAGATGTATCAAGACCTGAAAGGGTCATTCTGGTGGCGAGGCATGAAGAAGGACGTCGCCGAGTTTGTCAGGAGGTGTTTTACATGTCAGCAAGTCAAAGCCGAACATCAGAGTCCGATAGGCCTCCTGCAGCCACTGCCGATTCTGAGGTGGAAGTGGGAGGAAGTCACGATGGATTTCTTTACGGGATTGCCGAGGTCGTCTGAACATCACGACGCTATCTGGGTCGTGGTCGACAGATTGACTAAGGTTGTGCATTTCTTACCCGTTTCGATGAAGATGTCTCTGGACAAGTTGGCTGAGATATATACCTGTGGGATCATTCGGCTCCACAGAGTGCCCGTGACTATCGTATCAGAAAGAGATCCCAGATTCGTCAGCAGATTCTGGCACAGCTTACACGAGGCGATGGGCACGAAGTTAGAGTTCAGTTCAGCCTATAATCCGGAGACAGACGGTCAGTCAGAGCGGACTATTCAGACGCTGGAGGATATGCTTCGGGCTTTGGTTGTTGACAGGGGTGCTAAGTGGGAGTCGTTGTTGCCGTACGCCGAGTTCGCGTATAACAACAGCTATCATTCTTCAATTCAGATGGCTCCTTACGAGGCACTTTACGGTCGCAAGTGTCGTTCCCCTCTTTATTGGGACGATTTCGGAGAGCGACGAGTACTCGGTCCCAAGTTGATCGAGGAGACAGCAGATCAGGTCGAGTTGATCCGGCAGAGACTCAAGACAGCTCAGAGTCGACAGAAATCTTTAGCCGATCATCATAGACGAGATATTCAGTTCGAGATTGGCGAGCCAGCTTTTCTCAGAGTTCATCCGATTCGCGGAGTAGTTCGATTCGGAAAGAGAGGGAAGCTGCACCCTCGATTCATAGGTCCGTTCGAGGTTCTCGAGTGAGTAGGCGAGGTCGCGTATCGATTAGCCCTACCTCCCGAGTTATCAGGCATTCATAATGTATTTCACGCATCGATGTTGCGTAAGTACGTGTATGACCCCGATCATGTCATTCCTCATTCAGATATTCAGGTTCAGCCAGATCTTTCGTA